CATCCTTACTATGCGGCTATTCCCCCTGCCACTTGCACCTATTCACACTTTCGTCATAACCATCCCTTTGACACTGAAACTGAACTTCCACAGCAGAAGGCCCCCAACATGAGACGCGCTCGGTTCCTGGGGAAGTGTTGCAAGTCAGAGGCATCATAACTCGAACCCTCATTTACAATAGATGCCATGCGCCATTGTAAATGCAGGACAAGGACATAAGTCGGGGGTTTTCGGCCCCTTCCGCACGTACAAAAATGGTTGTAAGTGAGGGGGGGGTCGGAACTCGGGCAGTGTCAGGGGCCTCCTGTATCTTTTTTTTTTTTTTAAGTGTTTGGAAATGAATTGATTTATTTTTAAATTCACATGTTAAAATTTGTCTCAGTCTAGCTTGATAAAATCTTTCATGTAGCCAATGTATTGGTGCAGTGACTACTGGCATGTAAAAAGGCCCTTCCCTCCCAACATTAATGTAAACAAAAAAAGTCACAAATGCCTCCAGAAAAGAAAAGATGGGTACCTATACAGATCAAATATCAATTCAGATTGTACAAATATGATCTCTTTAATCATGAAAGATTTTTCCCCGCTTCAGCCACCTTGACCTACTATAATGAAAAGAGCAAAGCAACCTAAGGGGAAGTAGAAATGAACAGAGTAGAAACAGCATGTGTAGATCATCTTTTTAAAAATAGCTTAAAAACATGACACTGAGATTCCATAAAGCACTCCACACCGATCTACAGTTAACACAGTCAGAGGATGTCTGTTCAGTGCACTCATAGCTTGAACTCTTACACCTTGCTATTCTCAATCTGCCACATTCAACAACCACAAGCAAAAATGTCTCCCCCTGCCAGCTGTCTCCATGCCGCTCTTGTTGAGCACTTGCCAGCTCATCAGGAGCAGGATTTAAATGGTAAGTTAAAAATATGTGCAATAGTGTGAAGTTGTTAGAACAGACTCAATTCCTTTTGATTAATTCTTCACCTTTTTTTAATCTTGTAACCTAAGAATACAAGACACTCAGACAAAGGCCACATCTACACTACAAAATCATGTCAACTTAACTTTGGAAGCCCCGGAGGCCACAATGATACTCACAGCACATGCCGAGGACCGCAACTTAAGTGTGATTGCATGTACATGCAAATATATATGCAAATAGCTTCTTTCCCACAATGCCCCGGCGCTCCCAGCACCTCCTACCTGGGGCCTAGAAACACCGACATCCTGTACCCGTCTGTTCCAGCTAGCTCATCCGCTTGCATCTTTCACTGCTCACCCCACCTGAGAGTCGCCTCACCATTGTGGAGTGTGTTCCCAGTGGAGGTCATGTTCAAAGGATCCCACCCGCGGGCCACATGTTGAGCCCCACATAAACCGAAACTACACTGTGGGCTGCTAACAAATGGGCCATGAGCTGCATGTGGCCCACAGGCGGTGTGTTGAGTAGCCCTGTATTAAAGCATGCATGTGTGCACACCCTTGACTCCTTGTTTTGGTGGTGGGCAGCCTCCTCATCAGAGTGTGTATCAATAGCGTTGTTGGTGTGAGTTACAGCGGGGATGGTTCCTGAAGGTTATTAATGCTTAATATAAGCAACCCAGTGACACTGCCTCGACTTAATTAAATCAACTGTCTGTGGCATTACTAAATCAGTGTAGAGAGGTACGGGGGTGGGAGCCAAATTCAACTGAAGATACCTCAACACTTAGGTTGATGCAAGCAAGGCAGCTTATGCTGATTAACTGCATTAAGTAGACCAGACCAATAGAAACAAAGATCTTCCCATAGCAAATCGGACCACTGGTTCATCCAACTAGGACGCTGGTGGTGATAAGTGACGGGTATTTCAGAGGAAGACAAAAAACTTTAATGCACTGAGGCAATTTTGTATTCCGGTATATGTAGAAAAAAATCCTTCCTGATTCCTGTAGTGATCAACCCCTCTGAAGCATGGAATTAATTTGATTTTTAAACAAGTATGGCCACTAAGTAATATTAATGGTCATAAAGTTACGCAGTCTTGTAAAGTTCTGCTACAATAACTGATGTTATGGGTTTCTGCAGCAATGCCCTTTCCTCTCCCCTCTCAACATTTCACACTGAGCCCCTTCCAGCTTTGTACTTTCATTTGAAACATGTTCACTAAAATCCTTTGTAGTGGCTCCATTTCAGAAGGGTCACTGCCAGGAGGTATTTAGACACTGGAGGTATCAAGTGTGAGGGCAAATGGGATCTCAAGGTGAGGAACTCATCTGGGCAGTAAGGAAGTCTGTCTTAGTACATATTTGCAAGTCTCAGTACATATTTGAGTTATTCTAGCCTTGACAGACAAGTATGCACCAAAGTATGATGGTGACCTCCCTGGTCTCCCAGGAAAGGCTAATGTCAACTCAGAGAAAGAGAGAAAAAGTTTGGGCAAAGAACATATCTGAACTATCAACTACAAAACACTCCAATGTGCTGAGTTAAAAAAACAAAACAAAACAAAAAACCCCAGAACAGAAAAAAACCATCCAAAGCCCACACATAACACAACTCTGAATGAGGAGGGATAGCTCAGTGGTTTGAGCATTGGCCTGCTAAACCCAGGGTTGTGAGGTCAATCTTTGAGGGGGGACATTTAGGGATCTGGGGCAAATCTGTCAGGGATGATACTTGGTTTGTTTCTAGGGCAGGGAACTGGACTCCATGACCTCTCAAGATCCCTTCCAGCTCTATGAGATAGGTATATTTCCATATATTATTAAAGAGTGCACTGCCTATAGGGACTGTCTACACAGCAGGTAAACACATGACTGTACCACAGGTAGTTAAGTCTGTGCTAGCTTTACCTAGCCAGTACAGGTATTAACAGAAGCATAAACATGGACTAACTACCCACATATGTATCCAGGCTCCCTGGGATTGTACGTGGACAGCTACCCTGTGTTGAAGCGCATGCCAACACATCTACACTGCCATAGTTAACTGGGCTAGGATTAAAGCTAGCAAGAGATGCCGACCCGTTCTACAATTATATCTTCACTTGCAGTATACAGCATGGCTGTGTCTAGACTGCATCCCTTTTTCGGAAAAGGGATGCAAATTAGACATATCGCAATTGCAAATGAAGCGGGGATTTAAATCCCCCCTGCTTCATTAGCACAAAAATGGCTGCACAAAAAACGGCTCGGAGCATTGCGGGGAAAAAAGCGCCAGGCTAGATGCGGATCTTTCAGAAAATAAAGCCTTTTCCGAAAGATCCCTTATCCCTCATTTTAAGAGGGATAAGGGATCTTTCAGAAAATACTTTATTTTCCGAAAGATCCACGTCTAGACTGGCGCTT